GCCCATGTTTTGACCACCTGGCCTCCTCATAGCCGGGTATTTCACACAGTTCACTGTGAGGTCAACGCTCAGATTCATCCAAAATCCAAACAAATTCAGATCAGAGGGAGAGGCTGGGTCTGGGAGAAGCTGATATGGAAATGTGTGTGCTCCAGCATTTCAGAAATATTTAATGGTTGCACTTATTGCTAGAAACGAACTTTAAGATGACATGCAATATTTCTCCTACAAATTTTCCTCCTCCTCCTCCTCCTCCTCCTACTACTACTACTAACATCAAGAGCAAAGATTAACGTTGTCATATCAATAATGCAAGAAGCAAAATACACACTTTACAGCTGCTCTTCCATGCGCAGTTTTTCAATTTGTGCTTCAAAATTTCATCTGTACATCATGAGCTTTGTATCCGTGTAAAAACGTCTCATGTAAATTATTTCTAGGCTCACTGGTCAACAGGACGACAGCCCCTCAGACGTACCAGACACATGCTTCATCAGAGCACCTACAGGTGTGGCTGAAGTCCTGAGATGTGAGGTGGCCGACACCCTGAGCTGCCTGATGGTGACCGGCTCGGAGGAGCTGGTCAGCAGAGTGATCAGGGTCAAAGTTCAGGACGGAGCCAGCGTCCACTTCCCCGTGACTGTGGCTGTGCCTTTCTGCGCACGTTACCGTGGCAACTACAGGGATGTCACTGTGAAGGTAGTTGATGGGGAGAGAGGGGCCAGCTACGTCACACCTGTAACCACAGAGGGCACGTATGGAGGGCAGAGGGTAAAGTTCTCTGTTACTTACAGTTTGTTTTACAGACAATAACTTTTATTTTATTATCAGAAATAGCATATACTATTTATTTTCACGATATTTGTATGAGGAGACCGTTTCCAATTCAGTTCTACCTATTTTTTGAGGAGTAATGTTCCAAATGTTCTCCCAAGTGGACATGGTCTCTGGGGAGAGTGCTAAATTAGTTTTTGTTTTGTTTGTTTCTGCACATTCAGGCTTAATTTAAATTGATAACATTATAATTGGAGTTTGTGAAAGGCACTTTGAGGTCAGCTTAGCTAAGACAAGGGCTAACATAAAGATAACTGTATAATGTGCACACAAACAAATCTTTGCTTGCTGGATGTTTATAAAAATGGAAAACAGAACAAGCTCTAGGATAGAGCCCTGTGGTACACCCTTTTTGATCTTCAGGACTATAAATATACAATCATCAACAGAATCAGCTTGTGTTTTGTCTGAAAATTAATTTATGAACTAGCCTGATGCATCTCTTGACCTGGGATGTCAACATAACTGCTAATTGGTCAACCAGCATAAATATTTTTGACTGGTCACACATGTTGGTCTATAGGTTAATTTTGCCACTCTTCAGTTTACTGCCCTGTGCACCACCTGGGTCAGATTCTTATTGCTCTGTATAATTTAAAGGGCGCTGACAAAAGCAATGAATGTTAAAAGGGTTGATGTAATAAGCTAAGGCCTCAGCCTACAACTTTTCAGTCCTGTTGTCCTGTTTTTTTTTAACCTTTTGTTTTTGTTTTAAGCTTAAAAAAGCATTAACGTTATGTATTAACTGTCTACCAGTATATTTGAGTTTTACAAGTTGGAAAATGAAAACTAAACTAAAACTAAAACCAGGTTGGACACCAGGGAGAATATTGTTATTAAATCATTCATATACGTTGGTAAAATTATCTGATTTCATTTATGCTTTGTTTTTGTCTTTCTCAGGGCTCATTTGCAGAGGTGAGGGTGTACTCCCTCGGCCTGTTTGCTGTCGTTTCCTGTCTAAAAAGAGAAAATTACACAGTTCCCACAAAAGGTTTGTCTCTGAAGCTCCATATGGACCCCCGAATCTGTCTGAACTACCTCCCAGGATCCTTCACTGCTCCAGTAATGGCACAAATCATGGTATGAGGATGATGATTTGATCACTATCCATCTGTCTCACACTTTACTTTTAACACATGTATTATAACAATAATCACAGGTCTACTGCACTGATTTGTTTTGTATTGTGGGATGTTTGGGGCTGATAAAACATCTGTAAACTTAAGCAAGCAAAGAGAAGGACAAACAGAAAAACTGCTCATAATTCACAGACTGGAGTTTTCCCAGATGTTTGCTGTGAGGTAGAAAAACGAACAGCTGCGGCTGATATTTGAATTGACTTTTGAGTCCAATCATCTGTGAACTAACTCCACCACAGCAGTTTGTTGCTTGATCTAACGTCAAAAAACCAGCAGCTCCCCCTCTACACAGCTCCCTTTGATAAAACACGCTGTCGGCGAAACAAAAGTGTGGGAAAAGAAACAATTTTCATATCACACAGGGTCTCTGTCCAAACTGCAGCTTAAATAATGCATAGCAGCTGTTTCCTCGTCTGCCTCAGATCCAGCCGGTAGATGCCGTCCTCCTGGCTGCCGTCAAGTCCAGGAATGATTCCTATAAATCAGTGGTTTCTACAAGTCCTCTGCTCTCCCTCACCCACCCATCCTCTCAGCCCCTGAGGAGACCCCTCACTGTCAACCTCCCCTGTCCCCCGAACACTGAAAAGAGGAAGTGCATAAGGGGACAAGGGGAAGAGGAAGACAACCGAACTCAGCCTGTCAGTGCTTCTCCACTATGGGATCAACTTGCTTCACACAGAAGGAGGTGAGTTCATGAATTAAAATACAAACAACAGACAGCACGCATAATAATTGAAAAGTTGGGACATTTCTAGCCATGTTTTTAGCAACCAAACCGGATTTTTTTTTAATGAGAGTCTGGGATGTTTCCAGCCGTATTTGAAGCAACAAAAGCTGGTATTTTCTAATAAGAGTTTTAGACATTTGATATTTGTAGCGTCAAAGGGGATATTTTTTAACAAGACTCTGGGACATTTCCAGCCATGTTTGTAGCAACCAAACCAGGTATTTTTTAAAGGGGATCTGGGATATTTCCAGCCGTATGTGAAGCGACCAAAGCAGGTATTTTTTAACAAGCATTTGGGACATTTGCATTCATGTTAGTGACCAAACTGGGTTTTTTCAACAAGAGTTGGGGACAGATTCAGCTGTATTTGTAGCAACAAACTTAAATCCAGCCAAATTTGAAGCAACAAAACCGGATATTTTTTAACGAGAGTCTGGGATATTTCCAGCCATGTTTGAAGCAACAAAAGCTGGTATTTTCTAATAAGAGTTTTGGACATTGTCAGGGTATTTGTTGCAACCAAACCGGGCATTTTTTAACAAGAGTCTGGGATATTGCTAGCCGTGTTTGTGGCAAAAAAAGCAGGTATTTTTTGGAGTTCGGGACATTTTTTGTCGTATTTGTAACAAAACTGGGTTATTTTTTAACGTGAGTCAGGGACATTTCCATCCATGTTTATAGCAACCAAATGGGGTATTTTTTAACAAGAGTCTGGGACATTTCCAGCTGTATTTGAAGTGACAAAAGCAGGTATTTTTTAACAAGCATTTGGGACATTTCCATTCATGTTTGTAGTGACCAAACTGGGTATTTTCAACAAAAGTTGGGGACAGTTTCAGTTGACCAGATATTTTTTTAATGAAAGTGTGAGATATTTCCAGCCGTATTTGAAGCAACAAAAGCTGGTATTTTCTAGTAAGACTTTTGGACATTGTCAGGGGTATTTGTAGCATCAAACCAGGTATTTTTTAACGAGAGTCTGGGATATTGCCAACCGTGTTTGTACCAAAAAGAGCAGTGTTTAATGACAGTCTGCTACATTTGCAGCCATGTGCGTTGCAACAGCACAGTGTATTTTTGAGAGTTTGGAACATTTCCAGCCATGTCTATGGCAACAAAGGCAGGTATTTTCAAGAGTTCGGGACATTTTCTGTCGTATTTGTAGTAACAAAACTAGGTTCTATTTAATGTGAGTCAAGGACATTTCCAGCGGTGTTTGCAGCAACAAAAGTGAGCATTTTTTAGCGAGAGGTCAGGACATTCCCAACTGTGTTTGTAGCAACCAAACTGGGTATTTTTAACAAGAGTCTGGGACATTTTTAGCCATGTTTGTAGCGACAAAAGTGGGTACTTTGTTTTAAAACTTGGGACATTTCCAGCTGCGTTTGTCACAAAAAACAGGTATTTTTCAATGAGAGTTTGGGACAATTCCTGTCGTGTTTGTAGCAACCAAACTGGGTATTTTTAACAAGAGTCTGGGACATTTTTAGCCATGTTTGTAGCAACCAAACTGGGTATTTTTTAATAAGAGCACATTTGCATTTCTGGCGACTCTGGCAAACCTGGTATTTTTTCACAAGTTTAGGGCACTTCCAGCCGGGATTGGAACTACAAAAGTGGGTATTTTGTTTTAAAACTTGGGACATTTCCAGTTGTGTTTGTCACAAAAAACAGGTATTTTTCAGTGAGAGTTTGGGACAATTCCTGTTGAGTTCGTAGCAACCAAACCAGATATTTTAAGTCTATACATGATGTTTTCCTAACCCTAACCAAGTGTTTTTTGTGCCTAACATTAACATTAAAAATCTAAATGTAAAGGAATGTAAAGTTTCAACATATCCACTACATATGAAATCTACAAATGAAACATACCCATACAATGCCAACATTTATTCTGGCCATTAGATTGCATCAGAGGATCAGATCAGAATTCACCCATCCGTCTTGTTTTAAAGAGGTTTTATTTCTAATGTTTCTGTCAGGTTCCTGGGGGCCTCTGTGAAGTCTAAGGAGATGTCCAATGAGCTGCTGGTTGTTCTGGGTTCAAGAGACAAACAGTGGAGTGTCCTGGAGAAAGTCACGGTCAGAAACCAGCAAAACGGACTGGTGTCCTTTGAGCTGACAGAGAGCTTTGACAGGTTTGTAACTTCATGTCTTGCTCTGTTAAAAACATTATTTAAACTGTACAAATCTAAATGCCTGATGAGAATATTTGACTATTGGGAATGAGAATCCTTTATTAAGGCAAACATTGTGAGGTGTTGTTGTGTAACATTATTCAATCAAAGACAGATCAGATAAACAGTTTGGAGCTTGATTCAGGTTTTTACTTCACTTTTATGGAGCTCAGATATACAGCACATTTTTAGGGCCGAGGCCACAGAGCGCTTTGTGGATAAATATCAGAACAGTAGATTCAATTCTAAAGCTAACATGTGAGCCACTGCAGGGAGGTAGGAGAAAAGGTAATATGGTTTTCTGATCTTGTTAGAAGCTTTGCTGCAGTGCTCTGGAGCCAGTTGCAAAAAGAGGCTCGGGCCAAAACATTGAGTTACTGTAAATCAGATATGAAAGCCTGGATTATTTTCTCTTTGAGTGCGGCGCTCAGTGGATACATTGCTGTACCTTCCAGCCTAAACAGATCGCAGCGAAAACTGCAATATGAGGCAGGAACATCCACAGAAGGACGACAGACAGTGCCGACAAGACCAGGGTCAGACTTGTATGGTGACGCTCATGTGTGGCACCATTTGTGTCAGAGCCAGAGCTGATTTGTCTGGTTTGTTCTTCTAGTAACAGAAAAACCTGAAAAACATATATCGTATCAAAACAAGACCTTAAACAGACTCCTGCAAATACATGACTTGTGTCGTGATGCCGTCTCTTACCTCGTCTCCTCGTGCCTGCGCCCAGCTGCTAAACTCAATCAACCACTGTAGCTGATTTGCAGGACTGTAGGTTTTCAGTTTGCTGTTGTTTCCTAAACGCAGTGTCAGAACAGGCTGGCAGCCGTTCACACAAATGAGGATGTAATAAATCCCACATCTGACCAGGGAACAGAAAACACTCTCAGGCATCACTGATTAATTGAAGTGAAAGCAAAACAGTTTTCATTTGTACCTTTTTGCTGAGACGCAGTGAGCAGACTCTACATTTGTTTGCTTCTCAGGAAACCAGCGTAAAACTGCGAAATGATGAGTTCCTTGGAGCGTTGATCTCGTCATATCGAGGAGGCTGTTGAAACTGGATCGTACATAGAGGCCAGTGAATAATGTTTGATGAAGACTGGACTGGAATTCACCCAAAAGATAAATGAATATTATTTGTTTGTGAGAATATTGATGGGTAACTTTAACTCTCTTCAACACCTGTCAGTTAAAAACAGCCTCTTGAGTTTTTGTTTTGCCACAGAGTTCGCCTGAAAGATACAGAAAAAGTAAATAATTACAATGATTAAACTCAGAAGTGCTATGTTTTCAAAAAGGTTTGAGGGGAATGAAGGGTAATTTCCACTAACATCCACTAAAAGCTTTGATTTTTGCCGCTGACAGGCTCAGTTTGTTACTATGAGTGTCTGACAACAGTTCGGCAGAAACAAAATAAAACTCCAAAAGACCATCTTGGTTTTTTCTGGAGTCTGGTGGGTTTGGCGATGGCGATGTCAGGGCTCTTACTGGTTAAATAAAAAGGATCTTACTCTTAAACAAAAAGCTCTATCTCTGTAGGGATCCTTTCTGTAATGTTGCAGACACTTATCATAGCAATGTGAGCCTGTCAGTGGCAAAAACAAACACTTTCAGTGGACGTAAATTGACGGTGGCCAAATGCCCCAAGTGGTTACATTGCAGCCTGTTTAGTGGCTGCAGCTTGCAGCGTTCTGCACCAATTTCAAATATCTGTTGTTCTTATTAGTAACTTAGATGAGGCAAAAGAAAGTCTGGGTGGAAAAACACCAAAGTTACCCTTTAAGTTTTAGGTGGAATTTTAAACAGGTGTATTTCAGTTCATATAAGATAACAGTCACATGTTCTGATGCTTTCCTGTTAAGATTACAGTTAGAACAGTTACAGGTTTCTTTTTTTGGTATCGGAGGCCCATGAGCCCGATGAGTGTGTTTGACAGGCGCAGCAGGTTAGCAGGGTTCTGGGCCGTCCTCACAGCAACGTCAACACAACGGCTCCCAGCAGTGACCGTCATCAGGAGTCCTCCGACCCCATAGAGGAGGTAGAAAACATTGCCCCTGGCAACAGAGAGAGACACAGAAACAGAGGATTAGGGAGTGTGGATTTGCATATTTGAGGCAAACTGTTGAAAATCTGAGAATCATGAATTCTTACTTGTGGACAATTGTCTCTGGTGGAAACTTCAACATGAAGGGGTTTGATGTGTGAGGCCCTACAGGAACAATGCTGGAGTAGGAAACATGTTTATGTCTGAGCAAAATAATGCCACTTCAGAACAGTTTGAGATATTTATGTATGACATATTTGAGAATTTCAGATATTAGAGGTTGGGACCACTTGGTTTTACCTCTCCCACATGTTTGTTCCTAGTTTCAGTGGAACCAGCAGGATTAACATTAGCTCTTTGTGGTGCAAAACAACCAAATGTCATTAAGAAAATGCTGTGATTGACCTAACACAAAATAAAACTTAAAAACATTTCACAGCTACATCTTATTTTTTTTTATATATTTTACACTTAAAGGGATAGTGCACCCAAAAATGAAAATTCAGCCATTATCTACTCACCCTCATGCTGAGGAAGGCCCTGGTGAAGTTTTAGCGTCCTCACATCCCTTGCGGAGATCGGAGGGGGGAGCGGCTAGCACACCTAATGGCAGACGGCGCCCCAGACTAACGTCCAAGAACACAAAATTGAAACCACAAAATATCTCCAACATGCTCATCCACAGTGATCCAAGTATCCTGAAGCCCTGACATAAAAAGTTGTTTGGAAAAACGTCATGTGAACTCTGTTTTTAGCCTCACTGTAGCCTGTAGCTCTGACTGCTTCTCTGTGCTCCGCGCTCACGTGTTTACATCACGTGACACGTGCACCACAGGGGGAGACAGCAGAAACCACAGAGCTAAAAGATAATTTGCACTACGGTCTTTTAGCAAAGGACAGCCCAACATGTCTGAAGACTTTGAAATTGAGGAGGAACAGCATTTCTTTGTTGAGCCGTATTTGTTTGAGCCCGAGTATACGGACGGAACTCAGGCTACTGGACGAAGCAGCCGCCGCAGCTCATGAGCCTAACCCTCAGCCAGCCGCAGAATACTGGAGTCGAGCACTGGAAACCTGGTGGTGTAGTTGTTTCAAATGCAAAGCAATGCCAACGGATGAGGAAAGTCTTTGCTGCTCAGACTGGGAATTGGCGATGCCTGCACTTGAGAATCTGGACATCAGTACTGACGAGACTGCTGCTCTTCAGAGACTGTGCATCACCGATCACCCTGAGCGCGCACACGTGAACGCGGAGCACAGAGAAGCAGTCAGAGCTACAGGCTGCAGTGAGGCTAAAAACAGAGTTCATATGACGTTTTTCGAAACAACTTTTTATGTCGGGGCTGCAGCACACTTGGATCACTACAGATGAGCAGTATGGAGATATTTTGTGGTTTCAATTTTGTGTTCTTGGACGTTAGTCTGGGGCGCCGTCTGCCTTTAGGTGTGCTAGCCGCTGCCCCCCGCCGATCTCCGCAAGGGATGTGACGACTCTAAAACTTCACCAGGGCCTCCGTCAGCATGAGGGTGAGTAGATAATGGCTGAATTTTCATTTTTGGGTGCACTATCCCTTTAAGGGACAATGTGAAAATTTTAAAACAAAAATAATTCTAACCCAAACCATTTGAGGTATTGCACCAGATTTAGTTTTAGATACAGCACCCAATTACGCCCGCCAACTGCATCACTGCACAGAAGGAAGCGTGCATCTACCCCAAGCTCATCTAGCACTATTAAGAGCCCCAGCTAACATTACAGCTCAGCCAAGGAGGACGCCATTAATGTTTGCATCACACGCTATCATAAACAGGAGCCTTTCTTCCATTAGAAGATGCACGCTTTCCTCTGCACAGTGATACAACTCATGGGTGTAGCTTGGTAGAAAGAAAATAGTTCCCACATGAAACTGCTCACAACGAGGTCTGTGGATTATCTTGAGTTACCGGGTCATGATTTCTGGAAAGAGACATTGCTGTTGAGTTTTCAAATGCATTTTGAGAACATCTCTACGGCTGATATCTCCAACTTAACAGCTTTCTGTTATAGTTTGCTAATCCCCTTAAATTAACTATATTTTGTGAACTGATTTGGGAGAAACATTAATCCTCAGTCAAAAACATCGACATTATCAAGAAGTACTCACCACTCGAGCAGCTGCCGTTCCAACTCTCTGGGTTTAAATGCGTCTCATGTAGACATGTTCAGTCTTTGGGCGCAGCGTAAGAGAAGAAAGGTGAAATACTACAACTAACCAGGCTTAGAGTGAGCTTTTCTTTACATAAGGGGTTTAAGACAGGCTGTATGTATAACAGGGGGCTGAATGCTTTGAATTCCAGGCTTCAGGATTTCTGTGAGATAACATAAGTACATGGTGAACATTTTAAATCATCAGAAGAAGTCCTGTAATAAGAAAATATCTGATTGTCTGTGTTTGAGAGATTAAGTTATGAAAATAAGACCTGAATAGTGAACTTCTCATAATTTCTCTGCTGTTCTATAAATCTCTGTCTTATCTAAAACAGCTTCCAGGGAATAATATAAGTACAGTGGTTAATATGAATTCTTTATTCTGTCTTAAGTATATTAAGTCTGTATACAGCCCCACGATAACAGACCCACAATCTAATTTCCCCGCTCTCTCTTCTCAGACTCCTGGTGGTTCGTCTCCTCTCCTCACTGCAGCCGTGCCGTCTCACCTCCCTGGCAGAGGAGCTGGAGGAGTCAGTCTGCTGCCACGCGGTCACCGTCGTCCTCCAGCGTAGACGAGATGAGCCTCACGCCGTCCTGGTGGCTGCTCTGCCCAGCAGAGACCTCAGCTGGGAGCTGTCCAAACTGAGAGCCCGGGGATACAGCGGCCTCCTGGAGACCTCGTCAGAGATCTCCATGTGTGAAGGAGACCAGCTTCTGCTCCGGTTCAGTGGCAACATCACCTCCGCAGGTAGGGTGAGAGGGTGAGCTGCTGATGTATTGAAAAAGTTGCCTGCACTCTGACAAAAAAATAGAGGTGTGCTTTCTCTGCCTTAAGGCTTTCTGCGTAGGCCCAGGAAAGGCAGAGGCCCCAGAACAGAGCCATAGCGCCAAATATATTACTGCAAATGGAAGTAGCCTTGGTTTTACTTTGCATTTGGGGTTCTTTTTGAAATGTTAGCATGCTAAACCCCGCCCACTCCAGCTCCTCTCCCACAGGAGAACTCATAGTGGCTCATAGTAACATATTCATCATGGAGTACAAACGCTAGAGGTGTGACGAATAATTTGTAGCTTCAAAGTTTCATCCATCATGTTGACTTTCAAATTTTAAAATCAACGTTGGATTGCTGCACAGGTCTATTCATTCTGTTTAAACCCACTGTTTAAAGAGTAGGCCACACTAATATTAGTAATATTGAAATTATAGGAGCCATCCATGGTGTAAAATGTGTGTAGGATGCTAATTTGTCCTGTAGGGGTCACTGTGTTGTCATGGGAGTCTGTCAATATTGGTTGGGACCATTCATTGAGAGACAGGTGTTGCTAGATGGGGGAGCACACACAGTTGAAGTGAGGTGTATGGTGCTGTACGTATTACTGTACTGTACTGTACAGATACAGATTCATGAATGTTGCAAGTTTCATTCAAGACTGCAGTGGTGATAAATAGATTATGCATCAAAGAAGAAGAAGAAGAAGAAGTGGACTCTTTGTTTTCACCTAAGAGCAGCTGTCGGTTTGGTCAGGCGAGCGCGTCAATTAAAGGGAAATTTCAGTTTATTTCAACCTGTCTCCTATCATCCTAAATTTGTTTCAAGTGACTAGTGACATAAAAATAATAGTTAGCATGTTAGCCATTAGCCTAGATACAGCTGGGGCGCATAGTAGCGTCAGACCTGTTAAAACGTAAGTGAACGGGCATACTTCAAGTGCAAAGTTAGTCCACTAAACAAGCTTTTTTTCCACAAAGACAGCCTCATATCGTTAGGATAAATGTCAGAGAACATATAGAAAACTACATGTAAACGTGTTGTCTTACCTTACCGGTGTGCTGCCATGTTTGTTTACCATCTAGCTCTGCACAAGCATCAACAGCTGGAAGGCAGAACCGGACAGTAGCCTGAAAAGTTCATTAATTTATTTTATGAAAGATTTCTAGAATAATGGCTGTATGTGTAGAATTAGACTCCAGTGGTGGCTGCATTTGTTTGTTTCTGACTTTGTGATCCAACATTTCCAATAACTCCAGAGTGTTGTAAAATCAAAAAGTCAAAATATAATGAAAAAAGAAGGATGTAGCTGAATGATTTCCGAACAATGTTTCCATCTTCCAGAATATTATCTCCAGGAAGTTACAATATGTACCTGTAATATTTCACAATAAATTACATTATTACCACCTCTGAGGCTACAACTGTGATATTTAACCGCATTCAGAATTTTATTGTGAAATTCACACAGGTAAATTTAGTAATTTTATAGAAGTGCTCTGCTAAATCACAGTAATTCAATGTGAAATTGTGAAATTCAATCAGGTAAATATTTTACAGACGTACACTGGTAAATCGCAGTAATATAAGGAAATTGACTGAGATTACAGTGGGAACATATTGCTAAATCACAGTATCCTAATGGACATTAACTGTGAAGTTACAGGTAAATACAGTAACTTCACAGTAATCTAGAGGGCTTTAACTGAGGTTACAATTTGATATAGTTATTTTACAGGAACATACTGTTAAATCACAGTAATGTATTGGGCTTTAACTGTGAGGGTACAGTTAAATATAGTAATTTTACAAGAGCTTACCGCTAAATCACAGTAACATGCAGGCATATCTACTGTGAGATCACAATATACAGCTGTCATTTCACAATAATGTATTGTAAAAAATTATACAGTCATTTACTGTGAAAGTAATGCGACTAGTTGCCAGTAATTTACTGTAAATGTACAGTCAAATATTTTACAGTTTACTTCAATCTGTATATGGTAATGTTAAACAACATTATCCCTGCGGTCAAAAACTGTTTTCTCTCCCTGTATTAACCCGTAGCATCATAAACTACATTTATCAATTAAAGAAAGTTGATTTAATAAAAAAATATTTTTTTAAAAAGACTAATCTGATGAACAGTATACAATAAACATACCTTAAAAATTATAAAGCAGAAGGCAGCTACCACAACAACATGAGTCATCAACAGTTTTTGCTGTCGTCAGAGGTTAGAAATACTTCTCCTTGGTCTAAACAGGTTTGTCTTCCTGCTGTTTGTCGCCACATAACTTCATGTGATGAACCGTATAATAAAGAGCAAATTATATGTTTGCACAGGCAGCCAGCAGAATGCCT